GTCTACAGATAAAGTTTTGAGGTGCACAATCTCTTTTAAGATTGTATCTTTAAAAAAACGATTTTACGTGATAAAATAATTAACAGGTACTGACCAACTGAATGGCTGACTATGGTTGCTGTTAACTCAGGATCACACCGAACAACCCGGCTGATTGAAGCATGGTTTATGCTTGAGGCGTCATTCAGCATTGTTTGGCAGTTGCTGTGAGATGGTAGTTGGTGTGCGGATTGAGAGATTACATCTTTTCATAAAACAAAAGCACCAAGAAGGACGCCTTGAAAATCATTTATATACATGTCCCCTGAGTAAGGTAGCCGTAATGCTGCAAGCAGTGCGGCGTTGTACCAGTAGTTTACTAGTCGTACTTAAACATTTCCACAGAGCCCCGAGTACAACCGGTATTGATTAACCAATTGATCCATAGATAAGGTACTCAGGATTACAAGGCTCCCTGTCATTTTAAAAGAAAATTAAAGGCTTTTAAATGTGCCTTATAGTCAAGAAAATACGGTAAGAGGGAGAAGATGTTTTGCAAGTTCTTTAAGTGAGATGGCAGTTCTTTAATCCAACTTAATTGCATATTTGTACAAAGTTGATAATTTGTTTCTATTGACTTGCCAATTTTAACTTCCATGCTAACTTGGTTATATTTATAGCTGTAAGGATGTCCACATTTGAGCTCAATGATTACCCACAGACAGGCTTTTAATGTCTTTCTGTCTTGATTTGGGAATAAGAGATTTTAATAAGGTAATGCTGTATCTCTGTAGCTGAGCAGAAAATTATACAAGATAGCAAAAACAACACCTCACAGGCATGCAGTTTTGTTTACTTCTCTGTACCTAGTGTAGTATTGGGTTGAAAAGTTCACTGTAGTTGCCGGAGAACATCTGTTTGCCATTTTTGATATTAAAATTTTGAGTTCCTATATAGAGTAAGAAAATACAGCAACCAAGAGGTTTGTTTTTACCAAGGAACTTTGCCAAAAATAACAACGTTCCTGTTTTGCAAAAATAGAGGATTTGCTTAAACTTGTAAGTATCCAGAAGGAGGGGAGGCAGTGAGCTGATAGAGAAAAACAGGAGACCTACGGAGAAGGAGGGAGAGTAGGGGAGAGGGCTTTACCTTCGTTTGTAATCCAATCTCATCCTGATTCCAAGCTGTTTGAAGTTCTATCACGAGAAAAAAAGCTTTGATCATGTAGACCAAATTAACTGGAGACCAAGCGGGGGAAAGCTTTAGTGGAGTTATACTTCTGCGTTGCCCTATTTCAGATGATTTCTGCTGCTCTAAAAATACTATTTTAATAAAAAAAATAATATATATATATATATATATATATATATGTATATGTATTTTTTTTATTAAAATAGTAATACCATATATATATATATATATATATATATATATATATATATATGGTATTATATATCAGATCATATCTTGAGTATTATTTTAAAGTTTATTTTAATATGATTTAAAATTGTGTCCATCTGTCCCTTCATTCAAATGCAAATTTTCAGAAAATACTAAAATTGCTTTTGCTTCTTTGTAGCTTTGTTCTGATCTAATTGGTCTCCTCTGCCAATTCATGTATTGTGCCTGCTTTCATCAATAAAGAATGTCCACTGAACATTTCCACAACCTAAGGTCTGTTATTGAAAATGACACATGGAAGTTTAAGTATGATTTATTATTCATGTTTGTTTTTTCTACTTACCTACAATAAAGCTAAACTTGTAAGAGAAGAAACATTAGGATGTCATGAGAGCCAGAAGTTCCACAATTTAATGTAGCAATAAATCTTGAGCTACCTGCAATATTATTGTGAACTTTTACAAAAAGACATTGAATGTAGGGTTATTTAAATGTTTTTTAATTACTTAAATACATAAGTACACTGCTCAAAAAAGTAAAGGGAAAACTCGAGCAACACATTCTAGATGTAAATTAATTAAATATTCTCATTGAATATTTTGTTCTGTACGAAGTTAAATGTGCTGAGAACAAGATCACACAAAAATCAATGGAAATCAAATGTATTAACCAACAGAGGCCTGGATTCGGAGTTGCAAACAAAATAAAATTGGACAAATACACTGATGTTGGGCTGATCCAACTTTGATGTAATGTCCTTAAAACGGGTCAAAATGAGGCTCGGTATTGTGTGTGGCCTCCACGTGCCTGTATGACCTCCCTTCAATGCCTTGGCACGCTCCTGTTGAGGTGGCAGATGGTCTACTGAGGTATAGCCTCCCAGAGTTGAACTAAAGCATCCACCAACTAATGGATAGTCTGTGGTGCAACGTGGCATTGGTGGATGGATTGAGACAAGATTTCCCAGATGTGCTCAATTGGATTCAGGTCTGGGGAACAGACAAGCCAGTCCATTGCTTCAATGCCTTCATCTTGCAGGAACTGCTGACAGACTCCAGCCACATAAGGTGTAGCATTTTCCTGCATTTTTAACATAACATTGACAAAATAAAATCTGTCTGTCATTAGGAGGAACCCAGGGCCAACCACACTAGCATATGGTCTCACAATGGTTCAGTGGATCCCATCCCGGTACCTAATGGCAGACATGCTACCTCTGGTGTTGGGCTGTGAGCACAACCCATCTCTGTGGACGTTGTGCCCTCATACCATCCTCATGGAGTCGGTTCCTAGCTGTTTGTGCAGACACATGCACAGTCACTTCATAGTGTTATGTTGAACTTTTTTCTCTTAAATTAATCCAAATGGGGATGCATTACTAGGTGTTGAAACCGTTAACACACTTTGCTTTGCTAGTAACTAGTGCAGGCATGCACTGTGCGATATTTTCAATCTTTGAACTCAGCTACAGCTTAAACTGTATGATTAGACCGCAGGGTTTAAAAGTTCACAGCTCACGATGTAAAAATCAGATGTCCTACTTGTCAATCTGGAAGCCTAAAGTTTAGGTAAATTGGCTCGTAGCTGTGCCTCAACAGTAGGATTTGCTCATGACCACCTCACGCGGGCCGACTGAATTTCAAACATGTTTGATTTTCTCTCGACCTTACGATTCATGATCAGGAGGTGGTCATGAGAGGCAAATCTCCCCTCGATTCCCCTTTTATTTTACACAACGCAGGACGCACGATGAGGCTGAAAGTCGGCCTGATCAAAAAAATTCTCACACAACTGGAGAATCGGCCCGAAAAGGACAAAAACTGTATATCTGTATCTCCACCTTTATTTAGCATTTAAGCCTTTAAATTGAAGAGTTGCTTTAAAGGTCCTCCATGCCTGAAGTCATCGACCAGTGGCTTATAGTGTTGAGTATTTGGTAGAAAAATAGGAAATAGATTGTCACTCTATAGACAAGCTGATTGCTTTGCAATTGTGTAGCTATGTGGCATAGCCAGTTGCATGTTCAGGTCTATTTCATGAATGGTAGGGATGGTTTAAATTCTTTTATAATGGATGGAAGCACAGCTACTACAAAAGGGATAAAGACAGCAACATTTCAATGGGATTTTTAACCCATAAGGAATTGGTTTTAATGATCAACATTTACATGTTTTTAAATGGTTTAAGTTATCCACATACCCTAATTATATTATTATATTTTATTATCTAATAGAACTATAAAAAAAATTAATTGGCATGTTGTTATGAATGTTGACATGTTTTAAATGTTGAGTTTTGGCGTTTTGAGCCTGAGAAATGCCAAAATACTTAAGTTGTGCTGTTTTCTTGGAGTCTCTTCAACAGTCTTTATTTCAGCAGCAAATTTTACTCCTTAAGAAGTATTTCTTGTTTGTTTTCTGAAAAAAGTCAGTGCTTTACTCTGTGTAGTGGACAATGCTCAATGATAAGCATTTGTTTCCTGGATGCTGAATGGACAGTGTGGTGTTACACTCTCCCTTCTTTATTGCGCTCCCTCTGCCTTGCCAAAAAACAATGATGTCACCCTTGTTGCTATGGTCACAGTGGGGCAAGCAGGAACATGCCAGAGAGAGGGGAGGAGCTGCTGCTGTGTTTCTGGGGCCATGCAAAGACTAAATATACATAGATGAGTTGTGCAAGACGGTTTATTGGACTTTTTACGACCTTGATCTTTTTAGTGTATGCATACTGCTGCCTCAAGTAATCCAGTCATTCTCAGATCGGTCAAGCCAGATTTCCATCAGATTTTATGACCTCATCTTCCCCACAGCTGTGCAGAAAATAAGCATAAATATTTATAACATCTTATTCTGAATCATTTTAACTATAAAAAAGCTGGCACTCTTTATTATTTTTAAATGTTTTCTTTAACTTCAATTCATAAATAGTAAATCTTAAGGCAAAGAGCAGCTCCTTATTTTGATGCTGTCTGGTTTGAAAGTAAATGGTCTGGAGTAAAATAGTCCTGGTGATAAGAGTGCAGTTCTAGTAGCTATGTTTTGTTTCTGTATAAGCAGCAAGCTGCAGTCAGAAAGGGAGATTTAGTGCAGACTTCGTTTTGTTTGGAGTGGATTCAGGCAGATACGAGGCTGAACCGAGCAGTGGAAAGTCCCCTCGCTGAGACGGAGCCAGTAGTAGTTTTCCTGATTATTATTTTTTTCTTTTTTTGCCTGAACTCCCATTCATGGACAACTCTGTAGGGCCTCTGTACCAGGTGACTGCGGAGGAAGAAATGGTTCCCACCATACACGTGTATATGGAGTCTATCCACAACTATTTCCTCCCAAAATGTTGCTGACCAGATTCTCTGCTGAGGCCAGAGGTTTATGCTTTGCTCAGCAAACTGTAAAAGTCAACAAAATCCCAAATTGCACTTTAAACAGCTTGGACAGAAAATGCTTATCATCTTCTTGCGTTTGCAGGCAATTTGTTCAAGAAAGTAGTTTTAACAGTACTTAAAAACATAACTTTTACCAATTATAATAAGTATGGAAGTATAACTTCTGTTTTGATATCCAAAGGTATACCTAATCCTGCTAGAAATTCTTATTTATCCATATTTCTCTGTATTCTTTTCACAGGTGAAGCAGCATTAAGAGGGGACCCCAGATTCCAGTCCTTGTCCCTATCCTCGTCTTCTTCCTCGTCATCCTCTTCTTCCTCCATATCCAGCCACAGGACTGGCCCTCCTCCCATCAGCCCCACCAAGAGGAAGCTGAGTGGGGACCAGGGAGACAGCGACATGGATGACAATGAGCATGTGGCTAAGATGAGTCGCCTGTTTGTTGCACAGCTGTAAGTACATACTTGGATACAATCTCATGCATTACAAAGCAGCTACTAAGACTTGGTTGGTGAATTCTGAAGATTTTGAATGTCTCTATCAGTCTCATCTATATTCTATTTCCCTATAAAAGTTCTTTACATGCCTTATTTTTACCATATTATCACCTATTCACAGCTTTTCTGTTGACCAAGTGAAATTTTGCACAGGATAATTTTTCTGTGAGTTTCAGGCTCAATGTGAATACCTCAAATTGGTAAGGACACTTAAGCCAGGGGGCAACCATTATAGGAGATAGGAGCTACAACTTAAGGTATTCAGACTGAGCCCTATTTGGACTCAGTGATTTTGAACGAGGTTTAACTGTGTCTGCAGAAGATGAAGCTTCTTGTAGAGGAAATTAACTCTGAAAGCTGTGGAATGGTTAGAAATGTAACAGAAGATAACTCATAGCATTTCACATCAGGGGAGGTGACTGTGCAGTCTGTTATGACTGAGTCATTCAGGAACACTAGCCAATTCTATTATTGTAAAAATGTAAATAGGTTTTAAGTCAGTCTATGTGCCTTGTTTTCTATTGGCATAAATCAACAGCTTTTGTATATTACAGTATTTTGTCGGTTGTTTGGAAGATGGTATGATGTTCACCGATTTAAAAAAAAAATAAATAAAATAATAAAAAAAGATAAAAATCTTAGATTTTGATTCAATTCATTAAGGGCTGCATTCAATATGATGCAATATCATAGGTTTATCTAACGTAACTGCCCAGCGCTAATTTATTTCCTGTTAGGTTTAACCTGTAGATTACATTTTTAAGGGCTTTTAATGATGAGACACTTTTTTTTTAAATCAAAATGGAATCAAAATATCATGGTTGTCTCACAGTGTGGAGGTTCACATGCTGCAGTAGCAAAAACAATGGGCTTATTTTAATGATTTGTTTTAGACTTGAGGAAGTATATGCTGACAATTGATTTGTTTACAGGCCAGCAGTTGTTGAAATTATTTGTTTGTTTTTTTTGTATTTAATCAATAAAGGGAAAAATCAATTTCTCAGAAGGTGACCTACAAATATCTGATCAGGCTCAGAAAATTGCTTGAATCTGATCTCTGAATCATGGTGGATGCATCTCAGATATGTAATATACACTCACCGGCCACTTTATTGGGTACACCTGTCCAACTGCTCGTTAACACTTAATTTCTATGCAGCCAATCACATGGCTGCAACTCAGGGCATTTAGGCATGTAGACATGGTCAAGACAATCTCCTGCAGTTCAAACCGAGCATCAGTATGGGGAAGAAAGGTGATTTGAGTGACTTTGAATGTGGCATGATTGTTGGTGCCAGAAGGGCTGGTCTGAGTATTTCAGAAACTGCTGATCTACTGGGATTTTCACGCACAACCATCTCTAGGGTTTACAGAGAATGGTCCAAAAAAGAAAAAACATCCAGTGAGCGGCAGTTCTGTGGGCGGAAATGCCTTGTTGATGCCAGAGGTCAGAGGAGAATGGCCAGACTGGTTCGAGCTGATAGAAGGGCAACAGTGACTCAAATAACCACCCGTTACAACCAAGGTGGGCAGAAGAGCATCTCTGAACGCACAGTACGTCGAACTTTGAGGCAGATGGGCTACAGCAGCAGAAGACCACACCGGGTGCCACTCCTTTCAGCTAAGAACAGGAAACTGAGGCTACAATTTGCACAAGCTCATCGAAATTGGACAAAAGAAGACTGGAAAAACGTTGCCTGGTCTGATGAGTCTCGATTTCTGCTGCAACATTCGGATGGTAGGGTCAGAATTTGGCGTCTACAACATGAAAGTATGGATCCATCCTGCCTTGTATCAACGGTTCAGGCTGGTGGTGGTGGTGTAATGGCGTGGGGAATATTTTCTTGACACTCTTTGGGCCCCTTGGTACCAATTGAGCATCGTTGCAACGCCACAGCCTACCTGAGTATTGTTGCTGACTATGTCCATCCCTTTATGACCACAATGTACCCAACCTCCGATGGCTACTTTCAGCAGGATAATGCGCCATGTCATAAAGCTGGAATCATCTCAGACTGGTTTCTTGAACATGACAATGAGTTCACTGTACTCAAATGGCCTCCACAGTCACCAGATCTCAATCCAATAGAGCGTCTTTGGGATGTGGTGGAACGGGAGATTCACATCATGGATGTGCACCCGACAAATCTGCGGCAACTGTGTGATGCCATCATGTCAATATGGACCAAACTCTCTGAGGAATGCTTCCAGCACCTTGTTGAATCTATGCCACGAAGAATTGAGGCAGTTCTGAAGGCAAAAGGGGGTCCAACCCGTTACTAGCATGGGGTACCTAATAAAGTGGCCGGTGAGTGTATTAACAGTCAGTGACTGTTTGCTTTCCTGTTTTCCTAATTATTTAGGTTAACATAATATATTCAGAGAAAATTTTTCATATGAATCCAGTTGTAATGTCTTGATCTATGCAGTGATTTATTTTCTCTAAAGAATAATTGCTCAATTAAAACAAGACTACAGCTTTATTGTGCCTTATCTTCTGATGTTTCTCACTTTAAGGCACCTTCTTGTGCATCATAGGGTTGAACTTTAGTCTGTAGGCTCTGAGTACTGAAGCACTTATTGTTGTATCAACTTTTATTTAACTATATTCACGTTCTCCTGTTGCCATTACTTTACTCTGTGTGGTTTCTAAAACATTAAAAATATGTAAAAGCGATATTTTGTCCTTTTGAATTGGCTTTCTATGTAGTGATGTAATCCATAATGCCAAGGTATAATTGCACATTAGATTATTAGCTTACGGTGAGTTATACTTAGGGCTGTTGGGTAATCATACAAATGAACATTTCTAGTTTCCTTGTGTCCTCTTGTATTTAGAGCTCTCACAGATACAAAGATACATTTATATCCCTGAGACCTTGTTTTTCTAAGGTCATGCTTTCCGTGGTAAAGTGAACCACTGAGTGACTTGTTGAAACTAGCTGTCAGACTTAACCTCTGACTTGATGGTAGTGATTACACTGAAGTGGAGAATGATGGGTTCAGCTAATTTACACTAAAGATAGTTTGTAAAAATAGTTTCCTCAGAAAACATTGCAGGGTGCATACCACATGCGCACGTGCATGCATACAGCTCTGATGATCAGAGAAGACAGCTCAGCTACACGTTGATGAATATGAATATTCTTCTGTTAGTTTAATTTAGACTGATTTCATACCTCAGATATGTAACCACACAGCTGATTTAATAGAATGTTTTATTTGTGTATCTTGAACTGGTTTTAGTATGGAGATTTATGGGTATTAGCTTTTATAACAATTATGATAACCTTGAGTAAAAAATACCAGTATTACAGCATTCCCTGGATAGTGTTGAACAAAATTTGATGGTCTTATATTTAAAGGAGAAAAGCAGTTTAGGAACAAATAAAGAATAAGCTTATGCTAAAAAAAGGGTTTTCAGTTTCTTTATTTTTAAAGAATATTTTGCATGTTTGCTGTGCTGGTCTTCATGAACTTACAGCCATATAACAGGCATACCCTTTCTGTAGGGCTGGATGATGTGGCTAAAACTATAATATTTTTATTCATTTCAGTCTATATGCTTTAATTCCAGTATAAAGGCCTCAGAAAACTACCAAATTGACCAAGACAGAAACTTGTACAAACTTCTGAATGTTATAATGTGTTAAATCTGAGAAATGTTACGCCATTCCTTTGCTCGATATATATATCAAAAGTAAAAGTTCTGAGACTATATGTTTAAAAACTTTAGCAAGCCTTCATTCTATTAACTGACATCAATTTCCTAAAAAAAAATACATAAGAAGACAAAAAAGAATATTTAACCTTTTCATCTTTTATTTCATCTAATTAATAATCAAGATAGACATCATTTCTCTCTTCTATACATTTTAAAGTGTAGCTCAGTTATATTAGGTTATATGAGGTATTTGCAATGAGATCAAGACTCTGCTAGGAGTAGAACAATTTTCCAGTTCATAGACAAAAGTAAATTTGAATCTGTAACAGGATATAAGTAAATCCTGTTTGATTTTTGAGGGTTCTAGAGGCAGGCTGACATGTTGATCGGAGCTTTCTCTCCTGAAACTCCATCTGCTGTACCAGTTATTCACATGTGTTGCATTTTGTCCCTCACACATGTATATGTATGTTCCTAGTTTTGATCATCTGTATGAGTGCATTTGTGCATCTGTGTGGGGTGAGGTCAGACAGCAGGGAATACTTTCTCATTTTCCCGGTGGAGTAGGAGGAGTCTTGAACAAAAGAAGCCTTATCCTGTCCAGTGGAGCCTGCAGACTGGAAGCTTGCTGCAGCCTGTTTGCCTGTGTGCCGTTCTGGAGTTTCAGACCAACCAGTATAAAACTCTTCAGCTGTCTCATTTGTCTTTCAACATTACTGCAGTAAAACAGCCAGGTATTGTAGAGGCTTTTGAATGAACAAAATAAAGTTAAATGGGATAAAGGTAGTACTTTGTTTGATAAGAAATCTTTTATATAAAAAAAAAACTATCAGAACATTATTTGTTTGCTATGTAAACCACAAATAAAACATGGCTGTGAAAAGTGGCTTTGAAATAATCCTCAGGCCCTAAAGTTAAGTTTCCCAACTTGGTGAGGATGCAGTTTTTTATGCGTTCTCGTTCCCTATCAGGCCTGATCGTCAAACTAAATTTCTTTGCCATCTGCATGCGTTTGTCATATTCCCATAAAGGTTATTCCATGCAGACATTGGGCCTTAAAGCAAAAAAAGAAAAAATACAACAGAAAAAAAAAAAAAAACAGGCAAGTCAAGTACTATAGCATGCAGAAATCCAGCTGCTTTCTACTGGGAACTCCATCACAGTGTTTTTTTTCTCATGGATGTTTCTCCAGAGGCCAAGTTGGGAGAAAATAAGAGAGCAAAGATATGGTGTGTTTGTACGTGTGTCCAAGCCTGGGGAAGTCATTGTTATGCTCTTGTTTTACATGAGA